TAATTAACAGTTGATGCCCGTGAATACCGCCCCGATCCGACACGTTTTAAACCATTGACTAACGTCGAACCTCCAAAGAATCAAACCCATTTGAGATCCGTGATGGGATGTCTACAGTACTATTCCCGATTTATCCCGAACTTTGCTACAAGGGCGCAGCCGCATTTCCGTGCTCAGCGTCCAGACGCTTGGGAGTGGTCGGTGGAGTGTGAAGATATCTTACGTGGTTTAATTCGCTGCGTTACTGATCGCTCTGTTCTCGCCCCGTTTTCACCCTCAAAACCGACTACACTCATCACCGATGCATTCGACGTCGGAATCGGTGCTGTATCAGCACAAGAAGGATGCCCAGTGATCTGCATTTTACGTCTACTCAATGCGGCAGAAAAGGGATACTCACAGACTCAGAAAGAAGCGTTGGCTGTATTTTGGGCTATTCGACGATTGCACAAGTACCTTTTTGGATTGTGGTGTAGTATCATCACTGATCACCAAGCGCTACAGTTCTTGTTCAACCCCAACAAATCCATCACGAAGTCCACTACTGTTATGCTACAGAGGTAGAGTATCGCTCTAGCCACATATAAATATGACATTCAACATCGTCCAGGAAAGACAATCTCGCAGGCTGATTCCCTCTCTCTCGCTACTTACGATTTTCTGAGGCCAAACAGTGTCAATTCATATCTCCAGCATCACCAGTGTCTCGGAAATCTTTACGCAAATCTACCATGCAATACTACTCTACCAAACGCTCAGTGATCAAGAAAGGTTGGTCACCAGAGGTAAAGATAAAGCATCCTCAATTATTTGCTCACCGAAAGTAGTTGACAGTGCAATTGGATGGTGTATTGTGTCGCGACGATCAATTGGTAATCCCACCGCCACTACGGAAGACGGTACAAGATGAATTGCACAAAGGACATATGGGAGTGGAGAAGATGGAATCATTGGTTCGACAGATATGTTTTGGCCAGAGTTGGATGCAGACAATTGCGCAACAGCCAAGAACTGTGAGTCTTGTTTACATAAACTACGAAAAAGGCCGAAAAACTGGACACCATGGCCGGGAATTTGCATATCATTGCAAACGGTTCATTTGGATTTCTACGGTCCATTTCTGAACCGGTATTACGCCCTTTTCCCGATCGATTCATACTCCAAATGGCCAGAGGTATTCTTCACGACTTCAACTACCACATCATTTGTGATGCAAGTTCTACGGAAATGTTTTAGGCACGAAGGGATTCCACAAGTGCTTGTGACGGACAATGGATTTCAGTTCTGTGCGACCAAAATAAAGCGCTGGATAGACAGCATCTGTTGTCGACATTTTCGAACTGCACCTCGTCACCCCTGTTCGAACGGAGCGGCAGAGAATTTAGTCAAAACTATCTAGAGTGCAATTGCGTCTGCCAATCCTAAAACGCTGCATGAGTTGGAAACGCAACACACAACCACCAAGGAAAGCCCGGCAATGCTTTTTAAATCCAGATGCTTGCGTTCCTCACTACAGTGCCTCGACTACAGTGACGTCGTATACTTCCGTGGTAAAGATTTGCGACCCGCGTCTGGTATAGCCACACGACAACTGGGTCAAGCCATGGTGGAAATTACCGACTTGAATGATGCTACTGTGCACAAGCGACACGTGGACCAAATCCTCTTCAAATCATCCACGGACCAGAGACATCAAGAGACAAGCGAGGGAGACAGTCAGTTGCATACCCCATCAGCACAACCGACGGAGCTGCATCAGTCATATGTGCAGAAACAACCAATCGAAACACAAGGACACTGCCACGAACAGGCGGAGCCAACGATTGCAGGTCTAGCCGTCAGGCGAGCCAGAATGACGAGACACTTTTGAGGGAAGAGAGTTGTGGTGATCCAGACTTCCGTGACAGCAATCCACGCATGACTAGGTACAGTTTCATGTCATCCAATCACCGTTCAGGAAGCTCGACCAACGGTACACTGGGCGAACGTGACATC